ATGTATTGGAAGGGGAAGTATTCCTAACTTAAGACTGTTGAAAGTTGATGTTTTATGAGTCTAAATTATATATATAAAAGGATACAAAATATACCATAAGACAAACAAACAATAATACAGCAAATAACACAACAAACTACTGTTATTAAGGTCATTTTACCGGAACCGTGACAGACAACATTCCGGGGGTCTAATATTATTTTTTTTTTCAGAGTAAGTAAACAGTTGCCTGAGGTTATTACCAACTCGAGTGAAAACAAATAGACGATAAAGAAAGGGAAAAATAATGACTCCATAACGACACACCAAGAATGGGGAAGGTACACACACACACACACACACACACACACACACACACACATTCGTCGTCGCTGGCGGGGAATGGCTGAAGGCTGTACACTGCCTCGATCTCTTAAAGGATAATTATTACATACGTTGCCGCCACTGTAGTTTTGTGTATTGTAATAAAAGAACATGCAGTGACGTGAACTTACGGTACAACGTGATTTGTTCTGTGTTTTTATTTATTTTTTTTTGTCAACCGCAGTGACTGGCTTTATCTGTTGTACAGCTTTGTATTTTTACTATTTGGAGATGTAAATATGAGATAGTGTATCATGCATTAACAAAATAAATTAACTTATACTTAAAAAACTAGAGTAAGTTAAAATAAATCTTCTTGTGTTAATATACCAAACATCAGACGTCACTTAAGGGAGAACAATGTGTCATAATATAATACTAAAAGAACGACGAAAAATAATACCCAAACAAAGCTTAACAGAGAGTGGCCAAGAGCAGACAAGGGTAGATCAACAGTGGCTACAACCTGAAGAGATTGTCACAGTGACCTTCCTGCCTATGCCACCAATACATCGTGATGGTGACCAACTTTATCAAGGAATTACACGTGAATGCGAAGTTTGATGAATGTGGAATGAACGGAGAGACAAATGAACGAGTGGAATGGACACATTTTCTCTATAATATAGCGGTAGGCTGGTGATGTGGTCAATATTATACTGTGATCGTCACCACAACAACATAATCAAATCATTGGTTAGGTTATTCAAAGATGATGGTAAATTTGTCTGCACTTACCATCTTTAAGCTTCTGGTGGAGACTTCTGTTACGTCTTGGCTTGGCGACCCGATCTTATCTGCAAGGGAGAACACAGGGGCTTAGAAAACACTCTTCATGGGATTTTTTGTTTTGTTTCTTGTTAATTCTATTCTCCTTGGATATTCCAGTCGTTTCTTTATTCTTTTTCACTTTCCCTATCATCTCGTGTTCCTCTCCTCTCAGTTGATCTTTCTCTGTTTTCCTTAATGCTTTTCACCTTTCCCTTCCCCTACAGCCATCTTCCTTCCCCTCCACCCCCCACCTCCTTCCCAACACTATCTACCTTCTCATCACCCATTTCTACTCCACCATTCTCTATCTCCTTCCCTCTTTCTTTCCTGCCTTCCCTCCCTCTTCCTTTCCCACTCTATCTCTACCTCTCCATCAACCTCCTCTTCCTATCCCCCAACCTCCATTACCTTACTCCTCACCCTTTAGCCCCCTCTCCCTCCCTTTAGCCCCCTCTCCCTCCCTTTAGCCCCCTCTCCCTCCCTTTAGCCCCCTCTCCCTTCCTTCCTCATCTCCCTCTCTCCCTCCCCACATTGTCTACCCTTAAACACGTCCCCTCAGGCAACCTTTATTACACATTAATCGCCAGATATTAGCATGCCTGGCCAAGTCATTATGTCTTATTAAGTAGTCAGGAACACCGCGGCCACTTGTATAATGATTCAGGGTGTGACGCTCATTATAGGTCCCGTCAGAAGCTCATGAAGACGACCAGTAATGATGACAACGGGCTTAGATAATTAAATGCCCTTAACTTATGTGGGAAATGCCATACGTATGTATGTATGTATGTATGTGTGTATGCGTGTGTATGTGTATGTATATATATGTGTGTATGTGTGTGTATGTGTATATATATATGTGTGTATGTATGTATGTATGTATGTATGTATGTATGTTTGTACAGTATGTGTGTATGTGTGTATGTATGCATGTATGCATGTATTTTATGTATGTATGTATGTGTGTGTGTATGTGTGTATGTATGTATGTGTGTGTATGTATGTATGTGTGCATGTATGTATGTATAAAATAATAATAATAAACGGTTTATTAATAGAGTTGCAGCCGGTGGCTGAAAATATACAGATTTACATTAGATTTAGACATAATAATATGATATGCATTGAATACATTTACAGGGCTGTACAGTACATAAATCAGGAGTTGTTTATTATTTTAACAATAGATGGGATGGTGCTGTTCTTATACCTATCGGTGCGGGCTCTTCTGGGCTGAATTTTGTTGTAGTGGCGCACTGCGCGAGGTGGGTGGGGGGCTGCCGGTGGCAGGAGGTGGCGATGACGAGGGTGGTGCAGTAGTCCACTGCCAAACCTTTCCAGTGTATGTGAGTGTATGTGTGTGTGTATGTATGTGTGTATGTATGTATGTATTTTATGTATGTGTGTGTGTATGTATGTATGTGTATGTATGTACAGTATGTGTGTATGTATATACAGTATGTATTTTATGTATGTATGTAAATAATAATAATAATAATAATGTATGTATGTATGTGTGTGTGTATGTATGTGTGTGTGTATGTATGTGTGTATGTGTATGTATGTATGTATGTGTGCATGTACAGTATGTGTGTATGTGTGTGTGTATGCATGTGTGAATGTATGTATTTATTTTATGTATGCATGTATGTGTTTGTATGTATGTAATAATAATAATAATAATAAACGGTTTATTGAAAAAGTTTGCAGCCCGAAGGCTGAAAATATACATTGGACATAAATGACTTATTACGTACATTGTTGGTTTAACAAAAGCCTTCATTGTGTGTGTATATGTCTGTATGTATGTATGTATGTATGTATGTATGTATGTATGTTTGTATGTATGTATGTGTGTATGTACTGTATGTATGTGTGCGTGTATGTGTATGTATCTATGTATGTGTGAGTATGTATGTATATGTACATGTATGTATGTATGTGTGCATACATGTGTGTGTGTGTGTATGTATGTATGTATGTATGTATGTATGTATATATGTATGTATATATGTATGTATGTGAGTATGTGTGTGTGTATGTAAATGTGGATGTATGTATGCATGTATGTGTGTATGTGTGTGTGTATGTATGTATGTGTGTATGTATGTATGTATGTTTGTATGTGGTGTAATGTTCAGCATCCTCGCCTCGCAAGCGAGTGGACCCGAGTTCGACCCTTGGGCAGGGTGAAACTATGGGCAAGTTTCTTTACGCCATTTGCCTCTGTCTACCCAGCATTAATTGGGAACCTGGATGTTAATCGATTTGCGGATCGTGTTTCGGGGTAATGGTTAGCCAGTGCAGTTGACGAACTGTCCAGTCTTCTTAGACTATTCCTTGACACTGGGTCATGCAGTTCGTTAACTTACGGTGTGGTTGTTGTGTTGGCGACAGCTTCTACACCTTAAACAAATTCACGCCTAAGTGGCCCTAGGGCTGGCAATCCTCGTTACACGAGGGGCAACCATTATTATGTGTGTATGTATGGACAAGTATGTGTGTATGTATGTAAAAGTGTTGATTGATGTGGAAAATTGAGTCATATGGTTAGTCGTTATGGTGCACACAATTCTTTCAGGGGTGTACACACACACACACACACACACGCAATTTAAGTCCACAGCAAAACAAGACCCTCACCTGCCGTTGAGCACCAACAGAGCGACAAAACAGTACTTCAAACCGAACACCTGGCAAATATCTCCACACCTGAGCCCTCATCCTCTCCGGACACACAGCCCTCTGGCGCCCGCAACCCTATCCACCCTAGCATGCAACCCTTACCTCTCTATCTTAAACTTCTTTCCTTGCCATCCTATTCACTTTCCTTCCCTAGTCTGTAGTCCTTCTCTCTCCATCCTACTCTCATTCTCTCTGTATCCTACACTCATTCCCTCCCCAGTCTGCAGTCCTATCATCTTCATCCTACTCTTATTCTCTCTCTATCCTTCACTCTCAATTCTACACCCCTTCTCTCTCTATCCTACTCTCTTTCTCTCTCCATCTTACTCTCCTTCATTTCCCAGCCTCCTTTACTCTCCCACCTAACTCTTCTCTCTAATCTCTTCTCTTCTCCCTACTCTCCATTTCTCTTCTCTTTAGTTCTTCTCCCTACTTCATCCACCCACTCTGTACTTCCCTAGCCTCTCTCCCTCCCTCCCTCCCTTTCGCTACTTCCCCCTCCCTCCTTACCCCACGTCCTGCAGGTACTACGCCCCATCTACCTCCTCTATGGGGATTTACAAACACCCGGGTCCTCCTCATTATGATGGATAAGTGGGTGTTGTCGGCGTGCAATCCGAGGTGAGGTGATGATCGTGTTGATGGATGGGGATGGCTGGACACTCGACGCTCCTGTGATAAAGTGGTGGTGATGGTGTTGCGGTGTGGGTCCCTGAGGCTATGACAACACCTCGGCGTAGATAATGAGGACCCAGGTAGCTGTAAAAGAGAGTGTGAGGGGTGTCTAACCTTCCTTTTTCTGTTTCCTCTTTTTCATCTCTCTATCTTCTTTTTTAATATTTGTATATATTAATTTTTTATTTGCCTTCATTCCTTTTATTCTTCTTTTTTTCTTGTTTTCTTGTTTTTCTTCTTCCTCTACTTCATTTCCAGATAACTCGAACGTAAAAAGACTCGTAGTTTGTGTGTTTATTTTTATTTATCTTGCTTCCTTGTTCTCGCCTTCCTTCTAACTCTTTCTGTCAATATCCTCATATATCTTCATGTTGTACTGTTTCTATTTTATCACCATGTTTGTCCTCTCTTTATTCCTTCCTTCCTTCCTTTCTTATTCTTCACCCCATTTATGTCTCTCTAAATCTCTATCTCCTTGCCAACGCCCACCACTAACCTATCATCTTCATTTGTTTCAGGTTGTTTTAGAGGAGGGAGAGGGGAGCGCCGCCCCCGAAACTTGTCCCCCAGGCCATGGTGCCCGATCATGATCCCCGCCTCGCCACCCACCCCAACAACATGTCCAAGGAGGTACGTGTCCTACCATAGCCACTACTACACGAGGCCCTGGATGGGTATGTGTAAGAGACTAAACATAGGAGATATGGTTGAGGTTATCTTGTATTTCATGATATTTCTCTATGAGTATCTTGTTGTGACTTGTGAGGAAGTTGAAATTTATGTAAAGAAAAGAGAAAATTATTGACACGAATTATTACGGTAGTGAATAAAATTTGTTACCGTGAAGAGTAGTGTTCAGAAATATTAATCATATTACATTGTTTAAAAAACAGACATCACTTTACACATACTGTATGTATATAAGAGTTATAATATAAAGAATCTCTATCTCCTTGACAGGCGGAGGTGCCACCCGAGCAGTTAGAACCAGTGGACTTGAGTGTCAAGACCAAGGACGACCAACTAGCTGAGCCCCAGGTTGGTCCTAACCATGTCCAGCCGCTCCCGAAGCTTCCTGCAAGTCCTTCGGTCCATGTCCGACAACCTGGACCCCGGGGCCCACCGCTCAGGCTACCACCCTCCTCTAATAACAACCATAACCCGCACCCTGAGTACCATGGCCCTCCTAGACCACCCTCGGGGCCAATGGAATATAGCCCAGTTAGGGTGTCCGTTGAGAAGACTCGGAGGCCGCCGGCAGACGAACGACTGCCGGTTATAAGTGACCACAGAGTCTCGGGTGTCCATATCCAGAAGATGCTGTGTGAGCGAGTACAAAAAATGTCAGGTGACAGAGAGTCAAGTGAGCGGTTGCTGATGCCTCTAATTGACCCCATAAATGCACTCTCAGGTGACCTGAAGGTGTTAGATGAGAAAGTTCAAAGAGTGCAGTGTGATAGAGTACCGAAAGTATCCGGCGATAACATACATAAACTCTCTGAACAGCGGGTCACCTCCAAGCATACGGAGTGTGACACGTCTCCGCCAGTGAAACAAATGCCTCGTTATACAAAATGCTCCGTAGAGGCTCGCGTGTCGCCCAAACCTTCGGTGACATACACCATGACTGCATCATCCACGACACATACACCGTCTTCTTCAGCAGTGACCGTCCCACAATGCTTGACGGTGGAGCCCCACCGGGCAGTCGTCACCTCCAGTTCCACCTTCGCTAGTACAAGATCTCCTAAACACTCCCCTGACCACAGCGGCCTGGGGTCCCTCGACCTACCCGGCCTGCACATGAGCCTACCCCTCCAGAGCACCAGCTTCCCATGTATAAGCCCTGAGGAGTTGGTGGGCACCAGCGGCTCTCCCCTCCGGAGCAGTGACCCAGCTTTCCTCCTCCACATGTCCAGATTCCCCACCACCTTGCCACTGCCACTCGGCTTGGATCTCACACTCAAATCTGGTGAGTGTAATGATATTGATATTTAAACAGTTTATTTAGCCAGAAGAACACAGATATACAGTCGATTAAAAAATCATAATATTAACATGGCTGAGCCAGTTGAGAGCCTGAGCTCTCTTGTAGGCACCTGATATATATTGTACAGTGTTGCAGCCATTAGAAATGATGTTTTGATACAAATTGTAATCCAGGGTGTTTAACGGAGTGAGGTTATAGTCAATGATAAACTATTTATTCTAATTTTGTTTTTCATGTTGTTTACAGAGTTAGGTAAGAATCCAATGGACGCTCTCAACATAAACCTGGAGAACGCTTTCCAAAACGGCAGTTCTCCCCTCCTGTCCTTGCAGAGAATACGCGAAGCCTCATTGTAAGTAAAACAAACAAATCTGACCGCATCATAAATAAACTGTACCGCATTATAAATCCTCTAATATCTTGATAATCATCATTCAGTTTATCGTCCTTAAAAAGCTATAGGTAAAAACTATCGCTCTTAATGTGTTATAAGATTATTTTTTGACGTAAAGGAACAGTGTTGATCTCCCCCGGTACATTATACTGTAGTTTACTTTTAATAGTTCTCATAATCGATCAACCTCATTTTTCCTTAATGACTCTTAGAGCATAATAAGAGTATCCTTAACACAAAAACCTTATAACTTGCAAGATTTAGAATATATAACACTTGATGTGTAATCCTCTAACGGCGGTGTTTGTGGTGTACCCGACAGAGTGTGGTACGGGAAGCGGCCGTTTTGTGAGAGTCCCTCTCCGCCGCCCCGCTGTGCCTCGTCGGGAGGTCATCTGGCCTCTCCTTCACCTCAAACTACAACTCTTACCTCATCTACCATCTCATCATCCTCGTCCTCGCCGTCACCCTCGTCGCCACCAGCAGTAGCTCGGCCCACTGGTCGACCTCCTCCACCTCCAGCAGATTACTCAGACGCTCTTCGAAGGCGAAAAGCTCATCGATGTGACTTCGAAGGTTGCGAAAAAGTCTATACTAAGAGCTCTCACCTCAAGGCCCACAAGCGCACACACACAGGTACTGCTGGAAACTGTTCTCCTAATAATGCCCTCAATATGTTCACACAATGTCCGCTTTCATCAGACTTTTCTCTTCTTTGAAATAACGAGCAAATTGTATTGTGTTTTGCAGGAGAAAAGCCGTATCACTGCACGTGGGACGGCTGTAAGTGGAGGTTCGCGAGGTCTGACGAGCTGACACGCCACTACCGCAAACACACGGGCCAGAAACCCTTCAAATGTCAGCTGTGTCAGCGGTCCTTCTCGCGGTCAGACCACCTCTCTCTCCACATGAAGAGGCACTGAAGAGAGCAGGGGATTGTCCCAGTGTTTAGATCTCTTTTATACGAACTGATAATGTGAGGAAAGTGCCAGATGTTTCTCCACTAGGGTTCAGGTCCTCCACATCATGAGGCATTGAGGTGGATGGAAACAGTGCCAGGTACGCCACTGAGTCCTTACAAACAAACTGAAGGCGGGTACAGCTGAAACAGCGCAGCAGCCGGCTGATGACACACTTGGGCTGTTACTTCTCTCTGTAGCGTCAGTGAACTGTTTTTTTGGGAGTTACTTCCATCACAGTTCTGTTGAGTCAAACTTTCCTACCTGTGATAGGTGTCGCCTGCTGGTGAAAATTCCACGGAGAAAAAGTTACTATCTTCGATTCTTTGGGTAATCAGTATGTAAATTCATCATCATCTCGATTATGGCCGAGTAGTAACGTGTTTGGATTCCCTTCAATCATCACACCACATACTTGAAGCATATTAAGGACTGACTATTAAACGATCTCAGAAACTGTAACAGTTTGTTCATAGTTGATAAGATGTTTACTTTACAGTGAGGTACAACGGATATATATATTTATACACAGTCACTATACCATATTTCCTTGGAGGTTCGTCATGCTTGGGGTCTTTGCATTATTCCACGAACTTCAGTCAGTATTATCTGCCAGTCAACAATTCCTCCTCCCTGACTATGATCACTTGGCAAAGACATTCATAGATGACGGAGAGCGAGAGGCCAGTCAGTGTGGCGTGGAGCCGCGGGATGGTCCAGCAGAGACGCGGCCCAGTGGGTGGCCTCAGCCGGTGACAGTATCTTAGCATATCACTTGATGGCGGTGACACCCACAGATGGACCAAAGGAGTATATCAAACTACATCAGCACATACCTACTTATATACTATCTATATTCATTATATTCCTGCATTTTTGGGTGTTATTGTCAATCTCCTACACAATCCCATCATATCAATTGATATTTCAGAACACAAGACTAAATGTAACAGATTCTAGTTATGTATCGAGCGAGCGAAGAGAGAAAAAAACCCTATATATTTTGTAACAATGGTGCTACTAATGAAACATAAATATAGAAATATTCAATATCTTGTGTTACAAACAACCTGACGTCTCTCAACAAGTAAGAGTTTCTATTTTCTTACTCTCAAGTTTTTTTTATATATTTTTATACTGCCATATATAGCAATATCTCAAGTGGTTGTCTGTGATCGCGTGTCCACATGTTCGTAGGTTTAAGAGCTTCTATGTTGTTATTATTTCGAATTTTAAGTAGTTGTGTGTGCAGATTACTTGTTAGATGTGACTATGGTGTGGTTGGGTAGTAAAGGGTGGTTGAAGGTATTAATATATATGTAACGAGGAGTCGTCTCCCACATCCTCCTCCTCCTCCTCGTCTTGTAGCGGACGATTAACTCTTACTCTCTCGCTGCTGGCCTCAGGTGTTATCTCTTCCTCCGATACCAACAAGTAACGTAATTCAAGGTGAAGTATGGAGGTTTGTGTCCATGGCATCCTTGGAGCTGTTGACGGAACAACTTGTCAGCTAAACTTAAATTTTAATATCAACACGGGTCTTACTTCTTATAAGAATATAATCTCTAAAACCATTCAAATACAGCGTAATGTAAGTCTTGTGCCTCGAGATTACACAGTAGGAGACGCCAGAGGTAAAAAGAAGCCCACGAAAACAAACCTAAACCTATACTGTTGTCCTTCAACCTATGATCCTCTTATTATATAATATATAAAGGTCTGAACAAGGTACTCGACAAATGCATCAGAAAATAGATTACTTTTTTGGTGGACTTAAGTTTTAAGTTTTGTTAAGGGTTTCGTTAATATAGGTTGTTCATAAAGCTTTCATGGTAATGAAACAATTTACATTATATTCACAACATAACGACCGTAGCTACTGACGGCCATCAGTTTCTCTCACCTGACCACAGGGTGTCATACAGGTCGATGATGTTATAGACACAAAGTTTCATATCACCACAATTTGTCAAAGGCACGAGGTGCCATACAGGTAAAAGGTATCATATAGACACATGGTGTTGTACAGACACAAGTTGCTACGCATAAAGAAGGTGTCATTCAGACAAGGTCTCGTAGAGACAAAGTGTCTTCCAGACACAATGTGTCATGCAGACAAAGTCTCAAAGAGACATAGTGTCATACAAAGTCTCAATGAGACACAAAGTGTCATACAGACAAAGTCTCAAAGAGACACAAGGTGTCATACAGGCACAAGGTGGTGTGGGAGGGGTGACTCTTGCCAGCATTGTCCTCGAGCATTTGTGTCTTTCTCTTCATCTTCTTCCATGTTCACAAAGAGTACAAATAATTTCATATTTCTTTTCAATTTGTAAATACATCATCTTACTTCTCAAATATGTAAAATAAAATAAAAAATCTTTCGCACTTTTTTCAAGAGAGTTAGATAAGCTCTCACACTCAAGTGGTTGTGACTACTTCCCCCTGGTGACGCCTGCTGTGTGGGTGGTTACCTGAGTGATAGTGGTGGAGGGATCACAGCGCTGCACCAGAGAACATATCTTAGTGTAGGATACTGTAACGGGACTCTGGGTAGAGGATATTTACTGCTTGTCCAACTTGATGGTGGGGACATAAATGAAGGTGAACGGAGGATGGTATGAAACTAAATTTTTACTTTTAACAAATCTTTGTTTGTTGATGGCAGATGAAACATCAGTTAAATGACAAACAAATACAAAATGGGAATAAAGAAAGATACTGAACGACAGAGGAGTGACTATCAAGAAGTAGTCTGGCTTCCACAGTAGTGCGAGTGAAGGAGCAGGTGTGTGTTATCCCCTCACTTGTACTATAGACCGTCACCCTTAACGACAACATTTATGAAGACAAGGAACTTTCTAGATTTTTTAATTGTGTTGGCCGATGAGATTATTAGGAAAAAATAGCATAGGCAGCTGTTGGTGCTGAAGAAACCCCTGGTGATCTTATACATAAAATGGTGTTTGTCTTTAAACTTCAGAACCAGGCCATTGTTATTGTTCATTCATCACAGTGAGGGTTATATCATAGCTAGGACCAAGTTAGAGAAGTTTTGGTGTTTGAGTTAAATATATCGAGGTGGTGTGAGGCTGTATCAATGGTAAAATTCCTCTAATACACTGCTGCGTCATAAAAACGTTCGTATTCACCAAGCGTTTCTCAGTGACGGCAGCTGCTGGCGGCTGTCCTGTGTCACTGATGTGTGTTGATGATGCCAGCTGGAAGGGAACAGGTTCGCATGACAAGTATATGTGTTGGTCGCAGCCTCACACACCGTAAACGTCATCAACTGGACGCAAACATATTACCCATAGAACACAGTGACGAGGTTCTAAAATGCATCAATTGTTCTAAACATTATCTTGACGTCATTTTCTAGTGTTTTCAGGAAAATGCGATAACTATAGAATTCATTTCCTAAGGAATTTCTTATTTCAACCCGAAGCGAGGCACCTTATTGTCAGACAGGAGCTCACGAGGCTGCCTCTTATAATAGCTCAGTGCCATAAAAAAACAGTGAATCTCCCTGGTAAACAGTTGACTCGCAATAACTGTAGGTCAATGTGGACATCAAATACCGAATCAAATTTAGGAAAATAACTCAAATTATACCTGAAACCGAATATTATTCATCTTAAGTCACCCACTCGTAGGCGTGAAGAGTAAATACATAAAAGATAAGTTAAAATATGTGAAAAACTGGGACACAATTTTCATTTGTAAATGATTAGAATTCTTAATATGACATCCTCGTCACTGTCATTTACTTCTCCGTCAATTTCCCTCCAAGACGATACTACACGTAAGTCTCTAAGAAAGAATATTTCCCCGTCAGCGAAGCAAAGTTTTGCTGCTCTTCTCAAGCGATGTAAAGTGGAACACTTGGGATTTACCTTTATACCTTCTCTCTCTTCGCTCTCTTCTCTTTCTCTTTCTCTTATCTATGTGTGATATAAACGTGGCGGAAAGTTAAGGTCTCTCGTCCTTTGACTCATCAGAGTGATGTCCCTTCACCCCTCCATCCCCTCCTTCCTTCACCCCTCCATCCCCTCCTTCCTTCACCCCTCCATCCCCTCCTTCCTTCACCCCTCCTTCCATCACCCCCCCTTCTTGCCGTCCTTACTTCCCTGCCCTCCATCCCTCCCCGCCCCCCTACCCTCTGCCGTGAGCTGTTTACGTGTTAATTTAGTTTACATATGGGCTTCTTGTCGACGTGTCCGGGTATGTGTTGTCCACCGTTCAGTCTCGCAGACCATCAACGTCTAAGTGTCCGTCCTCTCGGTAATGGTGATCAGTGTCAACCTCCTTTTAATGTGTACTCGTCAACGTAAGCATTAAGCCTAACTATTTTTCCTTGCAGTGTTAAGGCGTCGATCAAAGTATAAACTGAACTCGTCTATTTTTATTATCTTACAATCAGACGGTGAAAAAAATATTTACCTCGGGAAAAAAATAAAAAAATATATATTTTTTTTTACTTTGGCTGTGTGAAAGTTATTAAATACAAGACATGTTAGATAATTTTCTCAAGCAATGATAATTCCTTGTTGTGTTGTCATCACTGGACTGTATGAGGTGTATACACTATTTACACTACTAAGAAAACTGTGTGGTCTAGTAATCTTTTATATATATATATCAATGTGTGTCAGGTGATGTATAAATAGAGTATAAAGTAATACCTCGATAGATAATGAATTGCACAAGCCTCAAACATTACCTCTGTCAGCGTTAACAGTAATGGATGATGTTTCAGATTCATTTGCCATTTCTTTACAGCAAGTCATCAACTTATTGAGGTCCGCAAATTTACTGCAACAATTGCTCCTCTTGCATTAAACAGAGGTGCAACATTGTATTCGCTACGACAAAAGGCGGGCGGCTCACCCACCAAGGCATACAAGCCGCCCATGGCAGCTGAAGTTGACGACGCCTCAGTGCAGGTCAACTTCTTGAGATTTCAACAGGGCAACACGAGGTTATCAAGAAACTCAGACCAAAAAATGCTTATATCACTGCACTCTGATATTTGGGTACAGTGTTCTATTTCTTTTCTACTGAAATATATAATGAGTTTTACATTATCAGACTTCATGCTCTAAAATGTAATAATATAGTTTATATACACTGTTAGGGGAATATCCACACAGTTTTACCCTTGTAGTGTCGAAGATGTGTACGTATGTGTCTGTGTGTGTGTCTGTGGACGGACTTTGGAGGTGAGCGAGGTTTCTTCCAAGATGCATTTAGTCTTCTTTATATCACTATTTTTGTAAGATAATGCAGAATTCAGAATTCGATAGTATTATATAAAGTGTAAATCAGTGTAAATACGATTCCATTTATAATATAAATAATATAATATAATATGGTTGTCCCTGTTATAAAGTGGTTTTATTTCCCCTCTCCCCTGACCAAGACGCAGATTGCTCACCTCAACATCTTTGTATAAAACTAGAACACGAAAAAACCGAATATTTGGTTATCTAGATTGGCTGACACCCAACAACAATAGATCCAAACATTACTGTAATTGCTTATTAACATATAAGTACAGGTGTGTTGGTGAGCTGACCTGATCAAAGTTATTATTGAAGTTAGCAGTTAATTTCCTCTCCTACGTATCGCCAAGTCATCACTATTTATGCAGTGAGAAGAACAAATGGTGGTTTTCAGTGGCAAGTCACAGTTCAGTGCCTAAAATCCGTGTTTTTCCTATACATCACGTAAGGAGAATAAATACTAAGTTAAAATAATATTATTCTAATTTAGACTTAGTGGGAAGTACTTGTGTACATGACCGGAGGACGGCTGGGTGGACATTCGGAAGGCGCAGTTCACTTGTTTTGTTATAAATCTTCGGAAACTCATCCACTTCTTCTTTACATGGTTTAAGATCTCATAAGAAAATAATATAAATGATAATTATAACAATGATGAAAATAATATTAATAAATAATAGAGAAAACTAATAAAAATACTGATAATAACAATGAGGATAATAATAATAATGAAAAAGAAAAAAGATAATGATAATAATGATAGTAATAGTAATGATAATAAAGCAATATATATATATATATATATATATATATATATATATATATATATATATATATATATATATATATATATATATATATATATAACAATAATAATAATTCACAAATAAAATACAAGTCAGGTGTCCAAATACCCCTAAAAGACACAAAAAATATATAAACATTAAAACACCAACAATCAGTGAGAGTCATTGTATAAAACGACCTCCTCTCAGTCCCCTCACGAGAGCCTTGAGTATAAACTACTGTATTATAAAAAAAAAAAGAACTCACTATGATATACTGTACTGTATATAAATGTTCGAGTGAATATTTCCTAGTTTACTCGTGTGTTCAAATACCTACGATGACTAAGAAATGCATGACATCCAAATTAATTTCAGTCATAAATAACGAGATTTGATAAAACTGTCAAAATACTTGAAAAGATAATTATGTATAAACAAAAATGATAAATAAAGATCAATAACAAATGTCTTTTCCACGAAACAACTAAAATTATTCCCAACGGCACTGGAAAATCTGCTGAGTAAATATTTATTATCATGAAACAAAGTACTAGAACAAAAACATGGCTATATTAAAATAAAAAAATATACATATTACAAATAAAGATAATGAAGAAACATACCAGTGAATAATAAAACAGAACGCTGACAAACGGTTCAAAATTACGTGTTGCAACACATCCCGGCGAGGTAGATGACGCCAGTATCAACTGGAGGGCGCCAGGTGGCCAGGGAGTCTTTGTTTTGATAGTGAGATCAATACAGGGTACATCAAGAAAATATATTAGCTTTCTGCTCCTGACTCTAGCGTCGAACTCAGGTCCTCACGTCTACAGTAGATGTTCTCGAGAAGTGTTCCACAATACCACAACCATCCGCCGTCACAAATAAACGAGATCACGGGTACTGCGCTGATAGCTTTTGAAACACTGACCCGACGAACAAGTCAAAAGAAGGTGAATAAGAGGAAGAAAAAGAAACAGAACAAGGTAATAAATATTGAGCTACCTCTACCTGGCTCCAGCAATGAGACCCGTGTCCTCGAGGAGGGGGGAGGGCACAGGTAGGCCACACACTTCCCGGTATATAAACAAACGGGAAGAGATAAATTATTCTAAATAGTGTTTTGAGTTATCAACTAACTTATAGTATCTACAGAGGAACAAGACTTTACTCCTTTAAGGACGACGGTATATATATTAGGTCCTGCTCAAGGTTTTATATGGTTATTCTCAAAGGGTTAATCCATCGTCGTCATAGGGTTAAATCATCGATCTTAAATGGTTAGTCCATCATCCTCAAAGGGTTAATTCATAGTCCTCAAAAGGCTAGACAATCGTATCAATAAATGTTTGAGCAAAAGCATAATAACGATAAGAATGTAGGCAAATTAAATACTGGTGCAATATCCACTTTGTGAGATCAAATATAAGAAATATTGTACGTGCTCTGCCTCAGCCCCTGACGCATGCTGCCATCCACTACACGCATGACGTATTATGTGTCGTCCGTTTGTCATGCACTGAATTGACGCTCTCAATGACCCTTCATCACCTGTACATGAACACCATGACATTCTCGGGTTTCTCAGCTTGTGAAGGAAATCATCAATCAGTTTTAGAATTTCTCCTCTGCCAGTAATTGGATCACTCGCCCTTAATATACACAGGCTACAATGTACAGTTTAGTGTAAGTGAATCGTGAAGCATAAACTGCAGTTACTGGTTCTTGTATCTGTAAAGGCGACACTTGTGCTCTCGGTTCATTAGCAAGTGTCTAAAGTGTCAGTCTTGAGCAAATGTTTAGCCAAGATAAACACTTGGTGAGGAACACGTGTTTGTACAACCACCCAAATATATCAACAACAACAACAAGATGGCCGCCAGATAGGAAGAGAATCGTGGTCTTCTCTAACTTTCTCTTAGTAGATATTATTAAGGTAAAGTTTTCGTTAAATTTTATAAATCTTTTAAAGTAATAAAAAAAGTCCTTTTAAGCAGATACAATAAAGATATTAAATAAGTAAGATTTTTATAAAAAAAAAAAAGAACCCTGAAATGAAAAGAAATGAAGATTTTTTTTTTAATATTTGCTGTGTTGACCTTATGTCCAGGAGTTCATTGGGGGCAATTAATGTTTACTAATGGATAAATAAAGTACATTGTTTAAGGTAATCCTCAAGCTTACAGGTTGGAAGTCGTGGATGATGACCCACTCTGCATGATTAATAGGAATTTTAAGCCTGGCAGTTAAATAAAATTAATAGTAAATAACTCAAGATGCTTAAACAGCCACAGGAGCTTACACACACACACACACACACACACACACACACAGTATTGCAAGTTGTAAATAAGTATCTAAATAAATCCTCGTACAAATCAGTAAAAATCAGGAAATTAAAAAAAAAAATAAAATTAAAATTAATCACCGACAAACAAAGGTAAGCAACGAATGATATCAGAATTACATAAAACAACTCACACTCACAAACAACAAAAACACACGAACAATCATTCACGTACAAACACAACCAGACTTAAAATTACAGTACACAGCCCAGTTGACGAAGACTAAGAAAAACAAATTTGATGGAGAGATAAAGTGGCTATGATTCAGAGTTGGACATAGCGACGCCTGCCTTCTATATAACGGTGGATAAAGATGTTGTACCTTCTATGTAACGGTGGATAAAGATGCTGTACCTTCTATATAACGGTGGATAAAGATGTTGTACCTTCTATGTAACGGTGGATAAAGATGTTGTATCTTCTATGTAACGGTGGGTAAAGATGCTGTACCTTCTATGTAACGGTGGATAAAGATGTTGTACCTTCTATGTAACGATGGATAAAGATGTTGTACCTTCTATATAACGGTGGATAAATATGCTGTACCTTCTATGTAACGGTGGATAAAGATGTTGTACCTTCTATGTAACTGTGGATAAAGATGTTGTACCTTCTATGTAACTGTGGATATAAATATTCTACCTTCTATGTAAATGTGGATG